TATATATATATATGCATACATGAATTCACAGGTCAGTTTATTAGGTACACCTTGCTTATACCCCTTTTTGCCTTCAAGATGTTCTTAATATTGGAAATGTCTCATTCCGTTACATCCCAAAAGACGCTGCATAGTGGACTCGTCTCAAACTGGTTTCATGAACATGATAATGTGAACTTTGTGTGTTGTCCTGTTGGAAGCAGCCATTAGAAGATAGGTACACTGTGGTCATAAAGGGACAGTGAGCAACAATACCCAGGTAGGCTGTGGTGTTTAAACTGTGCTGTGTTAGTACAGAGAGTGTACCAAGCAGCAGCAGCAGCCCGAGCAGTCAGTGCTGCAGACGAAATTGAGACTCAGAGCAGCCAATGGCTGTGCAAATTGCAGCCTCGGGTCCCTGTTGCCAACTTACAGGAGAGGCACCTGATCGTCTGCTGTAAGGATCCATGTGTTGTGCATTCAGAGATGTTTTTCTGCTTGGTTGTAATGAGTGGTTGTTTTTTCAGTTCCTGAAATGCTCAGACTATCCTGTGTGGCACCATAAACACACCACAGTCAAAGTCATTTAAATCACTTTTCTTCCTCATTCTGACGCTCGGTTTGAATTTCAGCCCTCACCACGTCTACATGTATAAATGCACTGAGTTGCTGCCATGTGCATTAAAATATAGTTGAACAGGTGTACCTAATGAAGTGGCCTGTAAGTGTATATACACACGCACACTCTGGTATGTATTTAGATTAAAGGAAAATGATCTGCAAGTGACTTTAATCAAATACCCTCAAAGAGAGTGGACTGTATGTTTACAGTGGAATCTATTTAAAGAGTTATGTAACTGAAATCTGAGCTCATCGCTGACTGCTCAGAGAACAAGGGGCTGTTGCAGCCTGAAAAACAAACCAGACTTGCCATCATCTTTCTGTGTACAAACTCCAGGCTAAATACAAAGAAAACTGAGACAAGCATGCTGCTCGCTGTAAGAGAATCTACCTGCAGTAAGAAGCTGCTTGGGAGCACAGAGAGTGCATCACATCCTTTTTCACTCTGTTGATGCTTGTTGTCCATTTCAGTAAATCCCACTTGTAACATCAGAGGAAAATTCATACACACACACAAAAGATAAAAACTTTTCATTCAGTTTTGAAGTAGTCTTCTGTCCCTTTCAAGTCCTATCTTTACACCATGGAGCAGTGATACACTTAAGGCTGAGGCATCTAGCCTTTACAGGAGTCTCCAGTTTCTCAGTGAGAGCTTGAGTGTTCATTCATTTTTAACTTAGGAAAATATACATTTCTGCACAAAAGTATGACAACTGAGTTAAGAATATAAGTAAAAAGGTGCACAGGGACAAAATGAGTCACAGCAGTGGGAGGATACAGCATGGGAGCATGACTTTTAGTCTGGCAAATTTCTTAACCTCAGTGAGTGTTTTCTCTGGCTTTTTACATGAGGGAGCGAGAAAAAAAAACAGCCAGCAGACCTCAGTATAATTTCTTCAGAAAAAAAACCCTAAAATGTTGACCTACCAGCTTTCATCCTCTTGTGTAATTTGACCCAGCTCAACAGTTTGGTAAGTGCAACCTGCCGGCATTTCCTCTCAAAAGGCTTTTTTTGTCAAGTCCATCTGCAGAGTCAGCTCCAGGGTATCTCTCTTGCTCTGTGCAATGAACCTTTTCCACTTCCTGTCACCCAACAAGAAACAGCTCATCATTAATTCAGCAAACAGGGAGGCAGGCTGTCAGGAGCCAGGCTTAACTAACAAAGGATGGGAATCAAGTAACAAAAAAATAATAATTTATATAATTCACAATTTATAAAACAGTTTATTATGATTATAATTTCAGCCAAATCTGGACTGACAAAGACTGGCCGAGTGAAACAGAACACCCTGATGACTTTACCTACTTATTACTTATTAACAGTGAGATAAAGTCTTTAAGTTCTCTGAAGCTGAGTTACTGTTTCGCAGTAAAAATGCAACCAGAACTAATTCACTGTGCACCACCAGTCTGAGGACCTGCAAGAACTAACTCAGCAGCTGCTTTCAATAACTTCGATTGCAATCAGTGGAAGCAGAATGTGAGAAGGTTTTGTGTCCCCTCTGGTACCTTTCCTGCCGCTGTGGCTTCACTCAGAGCATGAGTGATTATTTTGCTGGTCAGAAGCTTTAATCATTATTTTGCTGCAGGTAGAGTCTGTAGTTTAACTCACTCTCATGGCTCTTTCATTCAGGTAAATAAAAATGTAATTTTATTCTCGGTTCTTTTATATTTTTAGTATTTCAATTTTTATTTTTATTTCCAGGCTCTCCTGGCTTTGCACTCTGTTGTGGAGCTGCTTGTGCTTTCCTCCTCAAGAAGGTATGAATTCCAGTACTTTCATTTGTATAATTGACCACGAGTTTAATGCGATGTTTATTTCCTGATAGGTTACAGTACTGCACATGGCTACTATCTCTATGAGAGCCCCCAAACCTCTAGCACATTTCATTCTGGACAATCTTTGAATACAAACAATGAGAATGTTGGACGGCAAAGCTTTGTTTCCCGTCAGCCAGAAGCATTTATTGATGATAAAGGACAGGATGCTAACGCTGAGATGAAGCAAAGCCAGCCTGATAAATTTCACGGGGCCTCTTCTGCTCCTCTCATAGGGCAAAATGAGCAGTCTGGTTATCACCATCCCTTTGACTTGTTAGTGAGGGGACACACGCAGGAGCCTGTGAAGGGTGTCGCTTTCCCCACAATGAGTCATTTAAAGGAGTTTATAGAAAACATGAAGCGTTCCTTCTTAGTACCAGGAAGTGACTTGAGTAGACATTTTGAAACTGCACGGGAAAAAATGAAAACTCTCGGAACATCCATGGACTATGGACCAACTCCTGACAAAGGAGGTACTGCCTCTGGTGACAGCAGGATAAATAACGATCGGATTGAAGAAGGTGCCAACTACCAAACGCCAAATAAACGCCTCTCTTTCCCTGATCCTTTCGACTCCTCTGCAAGTCTCATTTCTTCCAGTGTTTATGACAACCAAAAATTTAGGCCGGGCACCACTTTCTACCCACACGATCATTTAGCAGCCACAGGTCTTGCTTCAAGAAATTTGGCGCACGGTTTTCCCTGGGGAAACAATGACTTATCTGTGAGTGTGGAGTCAGAACGACACAAACCACCAGAAAAAACACAATTTCCCTCCAGCTCCTTTCACAGGCACGGTTCTTCCTATAGTGAACATGTGACTGCACCCCCTGTGAACCCTGCAAACAGCCCATCTCAAGATTTCAGCCAGTATTCAAGTGAGACCTCAAATTTAACACCTTATTGGAAGGATATGCTAAAACCAGTACATGCCTCTTACAGTAGAGCTCCTTTAATGGGGTACTGGAGACCACCTGGTGGCTTTGAACTCACTAAAGACTTCCACAGAGTAAGTCAAACTGATGTCCCACCTGCAAAAAACCTACCATCTGCATATTCCTATGGCAAAAAGCATCCCCTTTCCATGCAGCATTATTGGCCCAAATACAAGACAAGAATAGGTGCTTCAGTCCAGCCGGGTAAACCCACTGACAGCAAAGAGTTAAGGACTGTAAAATATGCTTCCAACATTCACTGGCCTCCAAGTGGTTCTGTCTCTTTAAGCTTTAATGACCCGTTACCCCAATGGAGAAGAGGTCACATGGGTTATCAAAGCAGCCCACAATACCCGCAAATTCCTCATTATAAGCAAAAACAGATGGACAGAGCTCGCTGGATGTTTACCGCCAAACCCTTGAGTTTTGTTCCCGGATACCAGAAAGTCAGTGCTGTTCCCTTCGTCCTAAATGCCGGTGCAAAACATGAGAATTCAAACCTCTACAATCAAGAACTCTTTTCTGCCTTTCAGAAACCACATTACAATAGATTGAGAAATCCACCCCAGAGTGGGCTTACATCTTATGGAGTAAGAAACACACTGGGCTCATTCTCTAAACCACAAAGGCAAACTGTGAGGTCTGAACGTTTACGGCCTTTCATGCAATCAAACAGGCACATGCCTCGAGTCAGTGTGAGTCGACGGCCCAGACACTTGGCCAACTGGCCTTCTGAACAGCAGCCTAAGCCTACAGGTTTGATGCCTAAGTGTGTGATTAAGAGGAACACAAAAAGCCTTCTTCCTCAAGAGTCCCGTAATACATCTCCATCATCGCCATACGTTAAATCCAAAAACCGCTTCACACGGGCCGTAGCATATCTGTCAAAGGTCTGTTTCACATCTCGTACGGTGCAAGGGAAGAGTAATAACAATCAGTGGAGACTGGTCAGAAGATGGCATGAATGAAAGGACACGATAACTCAATGTGCAAGACCGGGAAGAATGATGAACACATTTTTGAAGGTATGAAAACAAAGATGTTGTAGTGTTTTTGTCTGTGAACACATCTGCTGTCCTGGAAATCTGTCCTTTAAATAGAAAACAAAGCATCGCATTACTAAGTAAATACTAAAACTGAGCACTGAAACTGGACTGACCTTATTCAACTTTAAAACATCTGTATCAGTCTTGTATGGAAGTGTAATGCATTCAGTAGGCAGTTTCTCCAGTGTTTCTGATTTTTTTTTTTTAAACATTAATTTTATTTATATAGCACCACAACAACAGTTGCCTTGAAGTGATTTACACTGTAACATTAAGACCCTGCAATAATACAGAGAAAACCCAAACAATCAGACGACCACATTTTGAGCGAGGGTTTGGAGACAGTGGGAAGGAAAAACTCCCTTTAAATAGGAAGAAACCTCCAGCAGAACCGGTTTCAGGGAGGGGTGGCCATCTGCTCCAACTGGGTGTGAGAGAGGGAAGACGGGACAAAAGACACGCTGTGGGAGACTGTCAGAGATGGATAAATAATAATTAAATGCAAAATGGTCTATAAACACAGCGAGTGAAGAAGTGCATCATGGGAAGCCCCCAGCAGCCTAGGCCTGTTGCAGTGCAACTAAGGGAGGATTCAGAGTCACCCGATCAGGCCCTAACTATATGCTTTATGAAAAAGGAAAGTCTTAATCCGAATCTTAACAGTAGACAGCGTGTCTGTCTCTTGAATACAAACTGAGAGCTGGCTCCACAGATGAGGGAGCTTTTTATTTACCTGAAGGTTTGATTTCATAAGCATATTGACCTATAATACTAAAACTACTGTTGCAGACTTTCTCCTGGATATTGCAAAGTTTCTCCAGGATCATGCGAGCTGCTACAGCTTCAGAATATAAGACGTTGCATCTAAAAAGCATTAAAGTAGTGCAGGTGACTCTGATAATGAAATCAAGCTTTTAGGTCCACAGAAGCTCTTTTTAGTTTTGTTTTTTTTGTTTTTTTCCCCTTCCAATGTCTGGATTTTATTTGCGGGTAACATTACTGACAAGTGGTCTATGTAAATAGAAGTATTCGTAATCTTAATGGCCATTCTTTAACACCTAAAAACTTATAGATTTATTGTAATAGGATTGGTCTTCAGCTGCAAATCAATTTCCTGTTCTTCTACCTACATCGACTATTTATGTAAGAACCTGAAAGTGTTGCAATTTTGACTTGTCTTGATTGCCACATTTGATGGTAGTCTTTATTATACATCTTCAGTGTAAGGATAAAAACAGTTTGCTGGATATATTAGCAGTCCAGAATAAATTCTACAGTCTATATCCATTTAACTTTGTGGACAGAAAAGCAGCTGTAACTGTCTAATAGGTCATCTGCATTTGTTTTAGAGTTGACATCATGTTGGACATGACATAAATATTGGTGTGAAGATCAGTCTGAATTGACTTTATGGTTCTAAAACAGGATTAAATATTTAAAATGAGTTTTTAAATCCAGGCTGTAGGTCTGATTATATTCTGTTTGTAATTTATACTGCAATAGGTTCAGTCAGACATCATGTTTAAACAAAAAATTAATTTCTGAAATGTGTAAATTGAGATTGTTTTCGAAAACAATCAAGGTAATCCGATTTACAGGAGAACTACAGTTTTTGTTTGTGTGTGGGGTTTTTTTTTTTTTTTTTCTTAAGTTCAGATTTGTTTCACATCCGGCTGCAAGTAAATAACGAAAACTAAAATGTGGTAGGATTCATGCTTTATGAATGGATGGTGCTGACTGTTTTTCTTTTTTGTTGTTGTGTTTTTTGTTGTTGTTTTTTAAAGAGAAGTCTCCCTCTACATTAAGATGCATTCACTCAGTCCAGTGAATACATGGAGGCTCTGCTCTTTGCCTGTTGCCATGGTGAATCCTGGTACTAGAGCTCTGCTGATGGCTATTTTTCACTGCTTATGCACAGGCTTAACTTGAGCTGAACATATTCAGCTGATTGAACTTTCTAGAACTACAAGCAGCAGCTCAGCATTAATCAAGTTGGAGTTTGTTGAACCTGCTTCTAAAACAGATCCCATTAAGGCTGTAGCTGAAGTCTTGCTTTTGAAAGTCACTTTAATGGTAACTTAAGCATCAAGTCAACCTAATTAAAGCCACTTGAAAAGAACATTGGTGGGGAATGCAAACAAGCAAAGCATGAGTCATTGTTTGCATGTGCTTGAAACATGTTGAAGTGTGGGTGAAAGGGGGGGCAGGGGGATATGAACGTGATCTTCTCTGGACCTCTTCTGGTGGCCTAACATGTCTTCAGGGGTTAGGAGTAAGGGCTAAAATTAAGAGAAAGTGAGCCACCGTGTGTTCGTTTCAAGAAAAGCCGGGGGTCTACGTGCCAGTGCACAGACTGGAAATGATCAACTGTACTGATTCAACATGACATACATGAAGCTGTCATTAAAGCCCGTAAAAGTAAAATAAATTGGGATCTCATCTTTTACATTCAGCGGGGGGTTGGTGGGGTGATATGCCCAACGTTTATCATTGGCAGTGAAAGGATGGCTTCCTTTTGAAAGTAAAATGATCAAAATGCATCAGTTTTCTTCACCAGCATATGTTTGCCATCTGACACAAAGGAAAATCTTGAAAAGCCCCAGTCTCTGAAATTCTAAAGTCATAAATATGAAGGACGATAAGCTAGTAGAATTATTTCACTTTATAAAGATGGATTATATGCATATGCGACAATGACTTTGATAAATTCGTTGGTGGGTAATTCTAATTTCCGAAACTCAAATGAGATATTTCAGATTAAAATGACTAATAGACCAGCAAGTAAAAAGCAAAACTGATACAAGTAGAGAGCTTCTTACAAAATCAACATTGAATCTTAGATGTGATGTGCTCTTTGCACAAACGTTATACATTTTAAGGTAATGTTATTTATTTATTTTTTTGTATAATTCTGATTTTTCCCCCCCTTTGGAAATCTTATCTGAGGAAAAGCTACACTGGTGCTCCTCTTTTTTTTTTATTTATTTTTTTTTTTATGTCTTTCACTTTACGACTTTTAAGTGTATAATCTCGTTTGACGATCCACCGTTGCCAGGTAACGGATCAAGTAAACCTTAAGTCCGGTTAAATGTTGGACAACTAGTGAGCAGCAGAAGTTTTTAACGGTAATATGCAGAATCGGATGCGATCTGTTTGCTCGCGGTTTTTCAGTTTCTTTCTGGTTATTTTAAAAGCTTCATAAAAACGCTATGTTCAGACAAATTATACCACACTCTTTAATGAGATACAAAGCCATATCAGTCACGCAGCGAAAGATTTGTTTGGCCACCCCAAGCTGGCCTCAATATCGACTCGGATAATTGTTGACAACTGTGGCTTGTCGGCAAACTTCTCCACTTTTTAGAATAATGAATCTGTTGAAACGGATTTGCGTTGCCTTCGTTGTGGTTTCGATGGAGTGTCATTAGTTTTAGCTAACTAAAAAACTCGACTTGTTCGCAAGTAAGGTAAATGATTTATCCATAACGTGTAGCTTAACGCTAGCCAGCTAGCAGAGCTTAGCTAAAGACATAGCAGCTAGCAGCATGGGCGATATAACTCCCAGGTTCGGCAACATGAAGGCTTTGTTAGGATTAGTTGCCGGAGCTGGAGCCTCTTATGGCATATACAAACTTATTAGTTTCAAGAGGAACAAGAAAAATGCCACAGGTGAGAATCCTGGGGTTAAAGGCAGTCAGCAAAGTGAAGTGAAGATACAACCGGGGAGTCTGCTGGCCAGAGTGTCCGGACTGGATGTTATCTGTCCCCGACCAGCAGATACGGCATCAGGTAAGGACCCCAGAGCCCTTAAAGACTGGACTGTAATCCCAGCTGCTATTTAAATCTGAATATTCCAGAAAAATCTTCAAATATTTTTGTTCGCTGTTAACTTGTGAATATTTCATCATCTACGGACTTGGATAATAATTAAAAATAAGCTTTTGAATCAAATGAAAAAGAAAAGGGTTACAACTGATCCATAATCTCATCTTTATGTTATGCTTTATAGGGGACATCATCCACCAGTCCCCTGACAACCTGGAGCCACAGCACTTGAAAATGCTCCTGTCCTGTTTGCAGACCAGCAATAATCCCTCCGACAGGTGTCGGATTCTTCTTACATTAGGAAACAGTGCTGCCTTCACTGTGAATCAGGTACAGTAAATTTACTGTATCCGAAATGTATAGATTGGAGCAGTTATTGGTTGACTTTAATGTTCTTTTCTTCTCTGTTAATCCCTCAGAATCTAATACGGGAATTTGACGGGATTCATATCATAGCTGGGTTCCTTTCTGATCCTGCGCCTGAAGTTAGGGTGCAGACTCTGAATGCTTTAAATAACCTCTGTATGAACATCCAGAACCAGGAACAAATAAAGGTATGTTTGTTGTATATTCATTTCCTCTTAAGATGTGTTTTTTTCCATGCATGCATGTGAATGAAAGAGAGAGACCGGTGAAAGGATGAAGATGCAGGGAGCAGAGGTAGTGAATGTGGATGTGTTTAAATACCGGGGTCAAACATCAAACGCAAAGGACAGCACACAAGTGAGGTGAGTAATGAGAACAGGCAGTCACACTGGTTGGAAGTGACCAGGATGGACAGAATTAAATGCATCACAGGGACAGCTCAGGTTGAGCAGTTACAAAGTTAGAGAGATGAGGCTGAGATGGTTTGTCTATAGTTTGTTTATAAAAAAAATGATTTAAAAAGATAAGCAAGTCATTAAAGGTGGGATGTTATAGGTACATTGTGATCATCAAACTAGGTAACAATTTTACAGTCTTCTTTTATCCACTCTTGAGCCAGTGCAAATTGCCCATTCAGTATCTCTTCTGCTTACCTTCGATTGTAACAAGTGGTTATTTGAGGTACTGGTTTCTTATCTGACCATTCTCCTTTGACATCAGCAAGGCATATTTGCCCAAAGAAGTGCTGCTGAGTGGATATTTTATCTTCTTTGGACTATTCTTTATAAGCCCTAGAAATGATTTGTCTGCGGAAAATCCCAGTAAATCAACAGTTTCTGACATACTCAGACATTCCCTCTGGTATTAACATCCATTTCGCATTCAAAGTCACTTGGTCTCTTAAATAACATATTGTTACAATGGTGGATGCTAGAATTAAACATACTGGTAGTCAGAATTTCAAATAATGTGGTCAGAGTATGTAGCAGGTAATCGTTGTGAGCCAAAGATTTAGGTTTCAGGTAGCTTTAAAGGCTCCAGACATTTTTTTTTCTCCTACTCTTGGATCGATTTCAAAGAGTAGGGGATTTTTTACTTTTTGAGAGAGAGCTACCTTAAGCACACAGCTCTGATTGTGAACACAGAAGCCCCACACAACTGCTGCCCTAACAGACTTGTGTGGGGCTGCTCCAGTCTGCATACCACAGCATCCTTGGGCAAGATGCTGATCCCTGAGTTGCTCAATCATCAACACTTATAGCTCTCTTCCACTAGTACCTCCGCAGCTTGGCTTGGTTAAACTCAGTGCAGTTTTTAAGGTTTTTCATTAGGTGATAGCACATGGTACCAGGTACTTTGTTAGCATCTGCTCAGCTGAAGTTCCAAGTCAGCTCAGTCAGTCTGAAAATGTGGCGTCAAAAGACTGAATGCCACCGATTGGCCAGTCATTGGCATCATTCAACGAGTCATGAGAGTGACTCCTTCAAAAATATCGAAACCACGATTTTTATAGCTTGGCAACAAGAGTTTTAAAAATCTCTTTCATTGTTGTGTTGTTTGTGTCGCATACAAAACGTGTCACAACTTTTGGCCGTGATGCTGTACATAAGCAGTACTCAATTGTAATGGAAAATAGCCGAGCAGAGTAGGTACAAGTGAATAAGAGGCTTTTGATGTAGAAAAGAGTGTCTGTGAATGAGACATGTTGTTTAAAGTGCTTCGAATGTTCATGTAGAGTAGAAAGGCATTATTACTACACTCTGTTTAACATCTACAAGGTATTGTTTTCATTTTGCTTCATTTAGTCATTATTCTCAGTAGCTGTTGGCAGACAGCTCTCTTGTTTACATTTGTTTATATAGCTGTGAGTTTTTTGAAGATGCATTTTACTGAAAACGTCATCCTGTCTGTCAGGTTTATGTTCCACAAGTGCTGGAACTCATTGAGATGTCACCAGTGAACTCGGACCTTCAGCTCGGTGCTCTGCGGCTGCTCACAAACCTTTCAGTAACAGACAAACATCAACACTTGCTGAAGGAATCCGTTACTCTTTTACTGTCCTTGCTGGTCGTGAGCAATGAAGCCTTACAGGTTTGCAAGTTTAGGGCGTGAAGTCTTTCACTTCCCATAAGCAGATTGTTAAAAGCTATAAGGATGAAATAATCTTTAAATCTTAACATGAATGTGTGCCATATGTAAAAGCTGCTCTGGTTGTTTCAGGTTCAGACTCTGAAAGTCCTCGTGAATTTGTCATCGAACCCAGATATGATGGATGACATCGTTCAAGCTCAGGTGAGACCAAAAGGAAATTAAAATCCAGCCTTTATCTGACCGTCTTCATGAAAAGGTTTGCATGTTTTTGTCATACACAGGGACTGTGCAGGGACTGTGCAGCTTAGTCTTAAGAGGCCATCAGAAGAAACAGAATTGCAGTTAGCAGACTTATTAGAAATTTTTCTTTGCTTTCTTACCCCAGGCGCCAGCTTCCGTGGTGCTGCTATTTGATGAACGAACAGCTCCTGCAGTGCTTCTCCGTCTGCTGACCTTTGCAGGGAACCTGAAGGCCTGGAGGCCATCAGCCCAAGTGGCTGATGAACTGAGGCGCAAACAAGATTGCCTCTTCCGGGTCATGCTAGACGAATCCTCCCAGCTACACGGCAGATTGGTTCAGCTGCTTTCGCACCCGGATGGAGAGATCCAGGCCCAGGTCGCCCGTATCTTGACGTAGACCTCCTTCCCTGCATCCCATTATGCTTCCAAAACCACCAACCATCACATCACCATCGCATTTCCCCTCTTAACTTGTATGTAAGTTGCCATTAATCTTGTAGAAGAGTAGGCTATGTGTAGCCTAAAGCTTGATTTGGAGATCTCTGGGAAATCTGTCCCCCAACTTGCGTAGCAGCGTCGACATGTAAAAAGGATTAAAACGGGGCTCCAGTTATGACGTAGATCGGACGCAGAAGTATAATTCATGTGTACGTGTGGATG